AAAATTTTAATTTTAACCTTTGAAAACCAAATCCAAGGGACTAAGACCAACTTAGGTATTAAATCTGAAATGACTCTATTCAATAAATCTAAAATTTGAGATCACTCTATTTAAAATCATTTGATTCGATCTATTTGTCAGGTTTAATGAGAGAGAAATTTTTTTAGTATATCAATAGTTTCTAATCTACTAATATAGCAAGACATTAGTATTTGTGGCCGTCACTTAAAATTAAAAGGATTAATTTATTACAATTGATTGATTATTTAATTGTAAATGGAACCCATACACATTGACGTTTCATTTTACTACATAACTGGAAAAAGGAAAATTGGATCCGATCAACCTGGTAGTATCTACACAAAGGACAAGTGGCAGAACAATTCTTTGGAGGCTTAAACCCTACATTCACCCGCTAATTAATTATTAGCTCTTTAATATACATTGTCCTTTTTGACTCATAAACTTCAAATTATTGTGCTAATTGGCCTAATATATATGGAATCTTATTACATGGGTCAAGTGGCCATCCCTATTATGTTACCCCTATCCTCATCAGTGTTATGTTGATATATATACATATAATTTATTTGGACCTATGAAAGTGAGAATTTTTTTTTTTAATTTTTACTATAAGATTCATGGTTAGTAAGTTAGTATCTGTTTGAGTATCGATCGAAGAATAGACTTGATGATTATGTGCTGCACTCTACCTTACTTCTCACACAGAGAAGCGTGGTCATTTTACCACATAAGGGAGTGAAAGTAAGAACAATTATGTCCATGTGTGCCTTAAGCAGAAATTTTCTTGTTTTCATGGGTCAAAGTGGACCATTAGACCATATGTAATCCTAAATAGCACTAACGAAGGGTAGCGGAGTAGAGATGACTACACGTAATGGGTTTTAGTTTATTTTAGGCCAATTACAGGAGTCAACAAAATGAAAGTTGAGAGACTAATAATTTCAAAGACAAACAGTTAGAGGGCTTCTATGCTTTATGCCATCTTTGGGCCCATGGTTATAGCGCGCGCAACCCTAATCTCTTCTTCTGTTAGAAAGAGATGATGGCATATATTAAGGAGCCGAAATACTCATGCGAACCCTAATCTTTACACTTCCTCTTTCCTTCCCTACTCTCTTTCTCCTCTCACCAGCTCGTCACCAGCCAACCGCCGTCAAGACAAGAAATTTTTCCTGGCTGTCGAACTTTTCTGTTGGTTAAATAGTCTGAGGACATGAGATTCTCAGCTCCTCACCAGCCGGCCGCTGCCAAGATGAGCTATCTCAAATGAAATAACAATTCACCCACAAAAGATGCAGCATGTTGCATTCATAACATCATTCGGTAAGATAACTTTGAGTTCTCCTTCAAAAATGTCTTTACTTGCTTAAGTGTTCCTGTTCCTGCCTGGGTTTAGACATCTTGATGCTCCTTGTCTTTAGATTGTATGTGTTCATCTTGCTAATATTTTAACAAGCTTTTAGCATTTACTAAGTTGGGTTTGTTCCTAGATGTTATCACAAATGTATGAACAATTCACTATGAATCTATGCTGCTGGTTCCGTTTCAGAGTATTCATATGAAGATTTTGTTCCTTCTTTTATCAGAACTCATTTTGAATCCCAAAATATATACTTTGATAAGAGAGCCAATTTTTTCTGTTCAATTTTTTTCGGATATTTTCGGATATTAGTTTTTGAAGAATATTTTTTTGTATTATCTTTTACAATTTAGAACGTGAATCATTTTATATCTAATATCCAGCTTCTTCAAAACTAATTAATTTTTGCTGCAAATTTGTTACCTTTTGAGTGTTTTTTTTTTTAATTTATGTTTACTTTTATAAGATTAGTTAGATATTCTATTGTAGGTATTGTTATTTTAGTTCTAATGAGTTCCTATTATCATAGGCAAGACAGAGGATACTGACTGACAACAAAATTTTCAAAGATTTCCTTAAAATTTTGAATGTTCACGTGAATGGATGCCTGACATTAGTTCTTTGTTCTTCTTGTTCTAATTTTTTCAGATACTAGAGTACATCTTTGGAGATGGTAGGGTTTATTTGTGATCCTTCGTCTGAAGAAGATCTTAATCAAGCTTCAAATAACAAAGGTTTCAAGGATCCATTTGACACTCTAGACACCAAAATCAACGATTCATCCTTTGCTGATTCATTTCTTGATTTTGACTCCATAAAGGACTGGTTTGAGGATAACCCTAATCCGGATAAGACTGGCTTAGAGGATTCTGATTTTGGGCTTATGGAAATTGGTAAAGAAGATTGCGGGGGGAAAAGGTATGCTGGGTCTGAGTCAGTTGAAGGTGGGTTAGGTTGCGAGCTGAACGTGAAGGTGGAGGCAGAGGAGCAGAAAGGTGAGGCAGATTTCAGTTGCTGTATTGAGGAGGGGATGGGAAAGGTTAGTTTGGTTGGTGGTTCAGGGAATTCTCTTAGTGTTGATGTGGACCATGGGAAGGGTGAGAATGCAGATGTAGAGGATGAAAGTGTGAGTAGTAGTTCAGAGGAGACTGAGAGTGAAAGCTCAACTTCTAGTAGTAGTAGTGATGATGATGATGAAGGGGAAGAGGAAGAGGAACTTAAAACAGAGATGAAAAGAGAGCTAGATGAAACAAGGGAGCTTGAAGAAGGTGAGATAAGGGAGGTTGGTGGAACTGGCTCTAGCATTGATCATGATGATTATGTTGAGGATGATGATGAGGCTGTTATTGAATATAATGATCCAGATGATGAGGATGATGACAGCAATGCTCTAAGGGGTCCAATTAGGTCAAAGAATGAGGTTCAGGTAAGAAGTAGCTTCCTTGTTGGTTTTTATTGGAAGTATGTTTGTGCATATAGTGCTTTGTTTGACATTTCAGGACTAACAAGTCTTTTGTTGTAATTCTGCAACAACAGTGATTGCCAAGTGGGATGTTTAATGTAGATATTTTTTATTTATGAAGTATGAACCACTGATAGTGTAGGTTAGGAATATGAAATTCTGGTCAATGTGATTTTGCCAAGTTGTAGGACAAGTATTCAACATGTGTGTGCTGCATTAGGGCCTTGATGGATTGCTATTTTGCTGCTCAGGAAATTGTCTAGTGCATGAATTATTTTTAACCCTTATTCATGATTGTGAAAATTACACAGACACTTTGAAGGGATAAAAATATTGTTTTCTTCTTCTTTTGTTTATTCCTTTTTGATAGGAAGCTAAATTATTTCCTTTTTATGACATATTGATGCCCATCAAATTGTTTATATTGTGCCATGGAGGTTTAGATAATAAAGAGCTTGAATTGGAGAAATCTTTTATGTTTGCGAGACATATCATCTTGTTTGTTTATCTGATGACATAATTATCTAGTATCTTATCAAATAAATTGTGTTAACTTTGGCAGGATCTCCCTCCAGTTCCTCCTGTTGATGTTAGTCTTCTACCTCATCATGAAATGCTGCCAGTTGGAGTTATTTTGACGGTAAGTTGAGAAAACTTTTTGATTTGAAATATATATATATATTTTATGAAACAAAAAATGCCAGTCTGCTTATGGTGATTGGCTGGTTCAATGTGGTTATTTCTTCCAATGGTACAGATTGTTGATGCAAAAGTTATTGTAGAAGGGAGTGAGAAGCATAATCCACTGCATGAGGGTTCTGTCCTTTGGATAACTGATAAGAGACAGCCACTAGGGCTAGTGGATGAAATCTTTGGACCTGTTAAAAACCCGTATTATGTGGTAAGATACAACTCAGAAAGCGAGGTACCTGCAGGAATCCATGAAGGCAATTTGATATCATTTGTACCAGAATTTGCTAGTCATGTTCTAAATGATAAGAATCTTTACAGAAAAGGTTATGACGCATCTGGTGAGCATGATGAAGAGGTTTCAGATGATGGAGAATTTTCAGATGATGAGAAAGAGGCTGAGTATAAGAGGATGCAAAAAATGGAAAAGAGGGGCATGAGTGACCAGAGACATGAAAATAGGAAGGGTAATAAAAAGAAAATAAAAAACAGGGATGGGGCATGGAAAAATGGTAGACATACAGCCATTGTGCAGGCACAATCTGTGGAATGTCAGAAACCACCCAATCAGAATAGACATAATCTCCCCCCTGTTGCAGTATCACTTGGTAATCCTAATTGTTCATCTTCTGTCACAGGACCAAGTTTTGTTAGTGGGCCTGGCTTCATTCCACCATTCTCAGTAATGCCACAGTCTGCCAGTTTAGCCACACCTTCAAATGGAGTTTGGTCAGATGGTATTCAATGTCAGCAACCACAAAATAGCATCTTTCCGAATGGATTTCCAGCTGGTCTGCCATGGCTCATGCAAAACCAGCAACAGTCACCATTTCCAATGCCTTTGCTAACTCCAGTGCCTATGCCAATGCCAGCATCAATGTTGTATCAACAGCAGCAGTTCCATCCTAGTCAGAATATGCTTCCCAATATGGTCTTGCCTGGTGGTCAGTCGAATTTGTTAGCAGGGCCCTCATATGGTCAGTCGAATTTGTTAGCAGGGCCATCATTTGCACCTTGGCTGGAAATTTCGTGTCAAAATGGATTGAACCCTTTTCTTTTGGGAATGGGATTGCAGGGCCAACAGCCCCTGAATGCAGTACAAGAAGGTAGTTTGTCCAATGAACTAAATGCAGAAAACCGTAATCTGCAACAATCGAGGTTTAATACTGGCAACTTGGAAACTTCCCAAAAATTTAACATAGGTGCATCTTCTAGTCGTGGGAGAAGACCATACTATCGAGGCGGTGGGCGATTTGGTGGTAGAAGAGGTCAGCAGCAACCCAAATGAAAATTTTACTACTGGAGATTGAGTGTATTTGTTGGCCCTCAAATTTTAGCCTATGTGCTCTTTGCTCTGATTTTCTTCTGTGTGCTTGCAGTGATCCTAAATATCTGGTTTTAAATATGTATTTGATCTTGATTATTATGTTGCAGAGACAGCCTCCTACCGAATGGGTCATGTAATTCTAAATATTAGATAGGGTAAAATGTCAATTTGGTCTCTCAACTTTTAAATTTTATTAAAGTTGTCCCTCAACTTTAAAAATATTAAAATTATCTTTAAATTTTAATTTCTTATTTCAAAATAATTCTCAAACTTTGAAGATAATATTAATTTAGTCCTTAAACTCTGGGAACAAGTATCAATGTAATTTTTAAACTTTGATTGTAAATAACAATTTGGTCTTTTAATTTTAATTGTATATCAATTTGATTTATAAATGAAAAAATAATATGATCATAAAATATAATTATTTAATTTTATATGTTATTAATGGTTATAAAAAAATTGAATTTATGATAAAATATTGAATTATATGATACTTTTGTTAACGGTAAGGATTTTTGTTATATTGAAAAGTTTTAAGACACTCTTAGTGTTTTTTGAAGTTGAAGAATAATTTTGGTACAAATCTGAACGTTAAGGGACCAAATTGATATTTTAACCTATTAGATGTGCCCATAACCGATGAACGGACTGCTCTTTTGGGAGAATGGTTTGGGCTCGGCCTGCCTGAAATAAATTAGTAAACCGGACAGAAAGTTGGATTATTGCAAATATAAAACATTGGGCTTTAAGTCTACGGATCAAAGTGTTCTTAAGGGTGGGTTTTTGTTTTTTGTGGTCAATTTTTAAGGGTAGTTTAGTACCAACGATTAAGTCACCCAATATCCCTTTCTAATTACAAAATAAAAGTAAGAAATTCTTGATTCGAAAATGATATACTCTTTTCTCTCTGACTTTTAATAAACTTAATTTTTATGTAATTTAAAGTATTTAATTTAATTATATATATTTTTTAGTTTTTTAATGTGTTATAACAACATTATGTTAAAGATATAATTATTATATTTTTTAAATATTAATTAATATTAAAAAAATAAAAATTAATATTTATTAAAGTAATTATCTAATTAAAATTATCCACATAATATTAATGGTGAAATTAATAACAGTATTTATATTGTTTTAGAATAAATACTAAATTTAGTTCCTTATTTTTATTATAAACACTAAATATTATCTCAATTTTCATTTAAACTAGAAATGATCCAAAACTTTTTTTAAACTTCTCGAATCCAATTCTATAGTTGGTCATTTCCATTAAAAATTCATAATAAAAGATATTAATTAAAATTTTTGAAAGTCACCAAAGCCCTTAACTAAAAAAAAATAATCTCTAAATCATTTTTTTTCCAACACCAAACATATTTCATTTTCTTTAACACCGCTAAATTATGTTTTTTATTTGTTTTTTGGGAAACTTTAAAGATCATGTTTCAATTTTTTTTTCCTTTGTGCTTAATGCAAACCCCTGTTTCAATTTAAAATTTTTTTGATATAATTTAATAATTTAATAACATAATAAATTTCATAACCCAAATATTTTTTAATTATAAATTATTTTTCATTTAAATTACTGTTTATAAAATATATTAAAAAATATAAAATAAAAATCCATTTCAAATTATAGGATTTTTGCCTATAATATATACATTAATCCTTATTTGTAAAGTAAACAAAATTTTTAAACATTTTTTAAAAAGGAAGAGCTAAGGTGGATAAAGAATATAAAATTTAATAAAAATAATTTTAGAACACGGATAATTAAAATAGTATTATATAAAAATTTCTATTAGAAATCCTAAAATTCTTATTAAGATTTTTTTTTTGAAAATTAATGAAATTAACTAGTTGTAGGACTAAATTTAGTAATTTTGAAAAGGTTGAGTACCTTTTTTTTTGGTCAAAATGAAAGGTTAAAATAATATATAGTACTTATGATAAAAGTTGAGAATTAAATATGATATTTACTCTTTTTCTTAATAGTATAATAAATGTATTTTTTTATTATAAATTTATATTAAAAGAATAAAAGTTGACTTTCAATTTATCAATCTATTTAACACTACTAAAATTCCTATTTTTAGCAACCATTTATTAGCAATATGGGTTTGTTTGTCGGTGATATAAACTTTCACCGACAAGGCCTATGTTGCTAATAAATATACAATACCTTTTCCCTTCTAAAAGTACACTTCACATTCAACAACAAGGGTTATGTTGCTGAAAAAGAGAATCAACAACATAACCTTTGTTGTTGATATTTTCTAGTGACCTAAAACGTTGGCAACATATACCATGTTACAAAAGCTATACATTAGCAATAAGGTCTATGTTGCTAATACTTTCACAACCAACAACATGGCCTATGTTGCTAAAACCAAGCATCAACAACTTGGTTTATGTTGCTAAAATATAGAATTACAAAACTACCCCTCCTCTCATCTTCTTCCCAAATTTGACAATCCCCTTCTCTCTCTATTCTTGTTACCTTCTCCCCCTCTTTCAGCACTAGCATCGATGTTCTTACCCTTTCTCTATCCATAGTGTTGTCATTCTCTTCCTTGTTTCTCCCTCATCCCTACTTCGCCTCCCTCCTTATTTCCCTTTTCTTCTTCCTTTTTTCTTTTCCATCTAGGATATGGGGACCAGTGGTGGAACTACTTAGGCCCAGGGTAGGCACGGGCCTTACCTTGGGCCCAAAAAATTTATAATATTATTAAGTGTAATACTATTAGGCCCTATCTTAAATAAATGAAAGATTTTTGTGAAAAGTAAAATTAAAAACATAAATTTAACTAATGGGCTTGTTATGGATTGGCCCAAATTCAAAAGTTACACAGAAGCTTTCGGCGTCATTTATATGCAACCTAAATAAACAAATATTAGGTTTTGTCGACTAAAAAGATATCTCCAAATTATCCACCAAATTTGCATTTTAGAAGTGCAATAAGTGGCCCTCTCTGATTTTTAGTGCTTCTCCCTCTTCAATATTTGATTGAATCAACTTCAACCTTTATATTGGTTCCACTGTCCCAGCTGTCTAGTCCCCAAGTAACTTGTTCTTTCTAACTTTTTTTTTTTTTTCTGTTTTTTAGTTTATTTTAGTTATTTTGTATTTTAACTTGTTATTAGATTATGGGTATTTTGGTTTTAAATTTTGGATGGATATTGTGCTCTACTATTTTATTTGAGTTAATAAATTTAATTAACATTAAGTGGAAGAATAATTTTTTTGGTAAAATATAATTAGCAAATAAATTAATTAGAAATCAATTATTAGAAAAAATAATATTGCTCCTATGAGTTTGTCTATCTTTAATCTTTTACTTGCTATTTGAGGATGAAGAAATGAATTTTTTTTATATGTTAGTTTGATGGTATTTCCCTTGTGAGTTTGTCCATCTTGATAGGTTAGTTGTTAAATTTCATTGTTAAAATCATATTTTGATTTTTAAAGTTCCTGCTAATAGTAATATTCTTTTTTTTCCCCTATTTTAACTATTAAATTTGTTTTAACATATATTAGTCAATTATATTTAAAATAATTAAATTAAATCTTTTTTTGGTAAAAACAAACATGGAAAGAAACTTCTAAAAAAAGGTCCAAGTAGAAAAAAAATGTGTTCAAGATGCAAATATTGATGTAGGTTCAAGTAGAAAAAAGTCACATGCAGAGTTTAATTTGGAGAATTTGATTTCAGACCTTGAGGAAAGACCTCCAATTTTCTTTTATGATATTAATATTTAAGATACTGTTAAAAGAGCATATTTGCAAAAAGGACCTTGCCAACCACGTGGGCATAATTTTCCATTTAGTCAATATGGAAATAAATCTCGTTGCTTTTGTCCTTCTTGGTTTGGTGGTAACATTAGTTGGTTGAAATACAATGTATCTAAGGATGCTCTATTTTGTTTGTATTGTTATATCTTCCCACATAATGGTGTTGAACCTACTTGGATTTCTCGTGGATTTAGAAATTGGAAAGATAAAAAAGCATTAGCAAGACATGTTGGTACCATCTCACATCCTCATAATAAAGCTAAAATGATGTGTGATGGTTTGATGAACCAAAATCAAAGCATCGAAACTGTGTTTTCCAATTATGATGAGGCAAGTCAAACAAAGTATCGTATATGACTGGGTGCATCAATTGATTGTATTAGATGGCTTTGTGCCAATGATTAGCTTTTCGTGGTCATGATAAATTTGATGACTCTTTTAATAAAGGGAATTTCCTTGATCTTCTACACTTTCTTGTGGAACATAATGACAACATTAATAAAGTGGTGTTGAATAATGCCCCTGAAAACAATAAAGTGACATTATTGAAGATTCAAAAAAAGATTATTAGTGCAATTGCTAATGAAGCAACAAAAGAAATCATTAAAGATACTGGAGATGGCTTGTTTATAGTTTTAATTGATGACTCTTGTGATGTATCCATGAAAGAACAAATGGTTGTTGTCTTGTGGTATGTGAATGAATAAGGAGAGATTATTGAGCAATTTCTTAGTTTTGTACATGTTTTTAACACCACAGCTAAATCACTTAAGGCCACCATGGATTCTTTGTTTTTAAGATATGGATTTAGTATTGCAAGATTGCATGCACAAGGTTATGATGGGGCAAGTAATATGAAAGGTGAATTTAATGGATTGAAAGCACTTATTTTGAGAGAAAACAATTAGGCTTACCATGTTCATTGCTTCTCTCATCAACTTCAATTGATACTTGTAGCTGTTGCATAAGGTCATCATGAGATTTGTGAACTTTATTCGACAATTGCAAACATATTAAATGTTGTTAGGGGTTCTTCTACGCGTCATGATATGCTTAGAACAAAAGAACATGATAGAGTTTTCAAGCTACTTTGTTCTCGGCAATTGGAAAGTGGTCATGGCCTTAATTATGAATTTGGGCTTAAACGAGCAGAAGGCACACGTTAGGGTTCTCATTATGCTTCACTATTGAACTTGATCCTCGTGTTTGAGTCTATCAGTGATGTTCTTGACTATCTTATAGATGATGGGTTTGATCTAACTCCAAGAGAAAGAGCATCTATGCTTTTTAAGCAACTTCAAACATTTGATTTCATATTCCTTCTACATTTGATTGAAAGTGTTCTTGTTAAGACAAATGACTTGTCAAGACAAATGACTTGTCTCAAGCACTACAGAAAAAAGATCAAGA